ACTGGGAATTAAAAATAGGTCTGACTCCACACACCAGATTTCATGCTTTTTCCATTTTTTCACACTCCATACCTTATGAATATAGGCACAACTTAGGAAAACATATCCAAGGGAAGCTTCCCAGAGAACAAGGAAAGCATGCTTCCTTACTGACTCTAGATACATTGAAGGGACCTTCACTGCCGCAGAATTCTACTTACACAAGAGTATATGTTCGTACTTAAAAATATGCTATAAAATCCAATTTACATAATCCTGTTTGTTTTTAAAAAATATCATTTTTATAAAAATGTACTTTTTAAAATGTACTTTTTTGTGGAAAATACTGAACAGTTATACACAAAAAGATTAACAGTGGTTAGTATTACAAAAAGATAACAATGTTTCTACATTCATTATATCATAAAAAGAAAAATGAAAGCACTTGAAATTTTTATTTAACAGAGGTGACTTATAAACTCAGAACAACTGCCCTCATTATTTTTGTCCTCTCCTGACAAAAACTAAATCAAAGGAACTAACAGCCACAGATGAGACAAGGAACTAAATGGCCTGATGGTAACCAAGGAAACACCAAGAAAGACATGGATATTAGACCAATGGCTCTCAAGTTCGAGCATGCATCAGAATCATCTGTAGTGCTTTTTAAGACAGTGCTGGACCCCACGCCTAGAGTTTTAAATGGGTAGGTAGAAGAAGGCTACGAAGAATTTGCATTTCTAATAAGTTCCCAGGTAATGCTGATGTTGCTGGCCCAGAGACGACATTTACCTCTGGTAAGTTTAACAGAGACTACAGGAGAAAAAGTAGAAACCAGTAAATCTTAGGAGGCTCATAGCTTACAAAGCACTTTTGTGTCTATTTTCTCCTTTAACTTAAACCTTTTAACAGCCTATTCACTCCTACACCATCCCTATTTTAAAAAAAAGAAAATGAGGCTCAGAGTTCAAGAAACTTGTTCAAGATCAAAGCAGAGACTGTACTGTAAATCAAAGATAAGGAAAGAAATGTAAAATACCCATGGGACATAGGAGTTCAGGGAGGAAGACTCCCAAGAAGCCTCATGGGCCTTCCCAATACATACATGCTTGGCCTGCTCTGCAATCTCAGCATGGCTCTTCTCCCACTTTGGGCCCTTGTTAGCCAGGTCAGCAGCCTGGGGTAAGCTGAGCCCCTCCAGGGGCACTGTGGCACCATCTGGGGGCCCTGGAGGTCCATCCAAAGAGGAATCTTGAGCTATATGCTGGGGGGAGATGCCACCTGCCCCACTAGAGGCTGGGGAACTGGATGAGGCAGGGGACACAGGATTGCTGCCTGTCATGCCGTCCGACACCATCTAGAAAAGGGAGAAATGACAGATAAGATGAATGCTTAGCAGCACTCTACCATGGGTTTTAAGTACATTCCTTCATTCTATCTCCACAAGAAAAAGCTCTGGAGTAAGGTATCAACCTCATTTTTATAAACACAACATTTGGGATAAAGTTTTAATAAGGTACTCAAGACGGCAAAGCCAAGTTTCCAGTAAACACTTGGCATGCAAGAGGAATTAGAGCCTGACATTTACACAATTCCCAAATTCAAGACTACTACTATAGCACATGACCTCAAATTTTAATGATCTTTTCAGAACCTCAATGATTTCACTCACATAAACAACTCCCTGTTTTTCCCTCCTTTTCACAGCAAGTATGACAGATTCACCCATGTGAATAAATCTGAGCTACCACCAAATTCAAAAAGCATCAAAAAATCCAAGATCACCTAAACCTCTTTATGTTCATCACCAGCCTCGGTAGTTTCCTTTACTGGAGAGGTAGATGGGGAAAGGGAGGATTAGTCACTGTTCTCAAATATCCACCTATTACAAGGTACCGTATAAGCAATAATGAGTATAGAACAAAGTCCTACTTAAATGTGCATAGTGAGGGAACTCATGAAATTCACTCTGGCACACAAGCCTCATAGTGGGCCACTCAAATTCCTACCTCAACTAAATGAAGAAAGACATTATGTCCCATAATTTCCCAGCTGCTCAGGAAAATAATATCAAACCCATAACCATCAAAAGCCTACTGTACGGGAAACCTAGGTCTGTCCAGTTTTTTAAAAGTCATGATTTTCTTCTACCTCCAGCACTCCCTCAGTATGAGAAAAGAATGAATACTACACACCATCCATAAGGCTTACCTCATTCCAGTTCCAAAAGAAACCGAGCTATTCTCAAAGTACGCAGTCTTAAAAGCATTTTGTCACAAACGCCATTTCCAACCTGGCTTAATTCAACTTTTTTCAGGTAACGAGGAATTTCCATGCTCTTAGAGATCAACATTATACTAATGTCAAGTAGAATATGAGTATCCAACAGGCTTGACAGCCCACCTGAGCATCAAAGATTCTCCAAACTCAGTTACCAAGGTAGCTAGGATCATGGAAACATGGCTAAGACCTTCCACATTTCTTCTGCCTCAAAGCCAGCAGCCCACAAAACAGAAGCAGAGAAGGAGCCCTCCCCACTTTCAAACCTGTGTTTGCAAGATTGGGAGCTGAGGGTGAGCAGGGGAGGGGCTGCTCTGCATGGTCCCACTCCCAGGCTCCTCTTTGGATGCCTGAAGAACGACTGGGTCGTTGTCACCACTGCTGCTGGCCGAGGGGCTGGCGTCCGGCTGCAGGGCATGCTGGGAGCTGGCCTCATTCTGGGCCACCGGCCACCGGGACCCGCCTTCCAGGGCCCGGGGCCCACTAGGGCGTCCCAGCCTCCACTCAGGTTCACCGGCCTCTGGAGCACCTAAAGTAGGGTAAAAAGAGTAGAAATGGGATTTAGAAAGATTAAAGAATCTTCTTAAAAAACTGGGATAACACTAACAAATAAAGATAATCGAACACAGTGATTACAGCTTACGTTTCTTGAGCATCTACTATGTGTCAAATACTTTACTGAGTACTTACTTGATGTGTTCTATAATCCTCACATCTACCTTATAAACCAGATACTTTTCATGCTGTGATAAATGCTTACTTAGCTCCTTCTACATACCAAAAACAGAGCTACGCAGAAAAGACCGCTGACATAAACGTAGCTTACCTTCTAATATTTCCTCTGTTTTATAAATTAGGAAATCAGAATACAAAGAGACCAAAAGACTTGCATAAGGTCACAGTAAGGAAGTAGGAGGAGGAGGACAAACCTAGACAGTCTGATGCCAAAACCAAGAGAACGTGCTACTCTCCTTGGTAGAGTCAGGGTGATCAGATCTTTCTCTCTCCATAGTCCCAGATCTGTTATTGCACCACAATCATTATCTCAAACATCTTTCCCATTAGCATTAACACATGAAATGGTATATGAGCCCTCACCTGTGTGAGCTGAGACCACACCCCCTGTGAAAGTCTGTACTTCCACGGTGCCGCCGTACTGAGGGGAATCACGCCTGAAACAAAAAGGGAAGAAAACAGCAGTGAGGAACTAATCCACATTTACCAACACCCATCAAAGCCTTCTTTACACCAACTTTTGAGGCTTTAAAATATACCCAAATCAGTTTAAAGGCGGAAGACAACTACAGTAGTAAAAAAAAATCACATTTCAGAAAAATAAAAACAAACCATGTTTTGTGAAAACAGAATTCCCTAGTAACATGAGATTCTGGCTGGGGAGGAGAAGCAGGGAAGTGAAGCCCCCCAAACAAGTTTAAAAAGCTTAAGGGTAAAAGGTTCCAACTTCTGAATGGAGGACAAATTAACAAAGCCAAAAAAGCTGTCACGTCCAGAAGCTCAAAAGGTGCTAGCTGCCTGGCAGCCGGCTCTCCTTTCCAGTGAGGGCTAAACGTAGGAGGATCCACCCTTCCTCAGGGCAGGCCCTGCGACTCCTATACCTGCGCCATATGACACTTCCCCAAACAGCAGAACTAGAGCAGGAGACCTTAGAGGAGCAGAGGTAAGGAAGCCCGAACAGCAAAGAACCATACCCCGGAAATAGGCAGGGTAAACCCACACAAGGCCCGGAAGTGTTTCCCCAGTGTTTAAGGAAATTCTTTAACCACAGTGCAGCCTTCGATTCACTCCACCTTCCACAAGAGTCACTGGAATCGAGCTAACCAGAATCCAAGAAGCTTGAACTCTCGACCCCCTTCTTTATTACCGTCTCCCAACCCGTCCCCACAGCCTGACCCAGCGTGACCCCTGACCTCTGCCCCAACTTGCCACTAGCCCTAAGATAGCCCCGCCCCCTCCTAGACTCCCACCCCACCCAACGTGCGCGACTGGGGGAGGGGCCCGCGCGTGCGCGCCTGGAGGCGGAGAGAGCCGGCTGCGCGCACCGCCCGGGGGCTCCCGCCAGAACCCAAGCCCACGCACCCAAGGGTCGCAGGACTAGGAAGCCTCTCATCCCTGCCCGTCAGGGAGCCCCCACCACCAGACCGCGAAAGGCTGAGATAAGGGAGGGCTCGTGCCGCCAGATTCTGGCTCCTGACTGGATATGGTGGGCGCGGGCCCCGACTACTCGTCCCACGCCCCCCTTCCTCTTCCCGCGCGCCCCTTAGGGGGGACTGGGGTTGGTGGGCGGGCAGGAGCGCACCTGGGTCCGTCCTCTCAGGGCTCGCTCGCTCGCTCAGGCACGCGTGCGCAGACGGGCGGGAGGGGAGAGAAGACGCGCCCGGGCCCAGAACCGGCCGGCCTGGCCCCCCTCAGCCTGTCGCTATGGGCGCGCGCCGACAGCCTCGCGCACCGGCCCCGGGGCCCCGGCCGAAGGTGCGCGCGCAGCACCCCGGGAAGGTGGGAGGGGAGGCGGTGGCGGAAAGATGCGCGCGCAGTCACCCGTAAGGGGAGGGGGAGCTGTGGGGCGTCCGCCATCTTGTCTCCCTCTCCTTACCTGCGTCCTCGGGGGCGTGCGCACCACCCCCCTCCCGCCGAGGAGGGGGGAGGGCCCCCTCTTGGCCGCCGCCTTCGCGGCCTTTAAATTCCCCTGGGGCCCGCGGTTACTATCACCGCCTTGCTTCCACTGCTTCCTCTCGCGGCACAGAGATGCGGGCGGTGGGTGGGAAAAATGGGAGACGCTACTCGCAGCGAACCGCCACCGCCGCTTCCGAGGCCTCACCAAAATGGCCGCCGCCGTCTCGGCCGCCACCACCAACACCACCGCCACCACCACAGCTCACTATCGCTACCGCCGGCGCGGCCCGTCCTCTCGCGAGAGACAGTAACAGGAGGTTCGGGGAGCGGAGAGGTTCGCGTGCTAGCGTAGGGCGCTGTCCGAAGCGCAAGGCAGGCTGGGAGATGTAGTCCTCCCGGAGGCTCGCCGCTTGGTCCGCGGCGGAAAGCTTACCCTCCACCACGGAACCTGCCGCTGGGGCTGCTTTGCGGCTGCCAACTCGGATCGATACACCCCACTTTTTTTTTTGATAGCTCACCCAGAAAGCTGAAGCAATTTCTCAGGTACTTTCAAGAAGTTAGCAGTGGAACCTGGGCCTCTGGATTCCCACGACAGTCCACTTATGTAGAGCTGCTTCGTTTTACACAAGGATGGTACTCCCAGTAACTCCTAAGCACTTATGCCATCTGTTAGCCAACTTTTTAGGTTAAGAACCCCTTTGGGAATATGATACCCTCACCCCGAAATAAAATAATAATAATAACAGATACCTTCTATTGAGGCCACTTTGTGCACTTGATTATCTCTTTTAATCCCAGCAGTGCTCCATTTTACAAATGATTTGAGGCTCATAGATTAACTAGTGACAGAGTCCAGAACGAAGATTCATAACAAAGCGGTCAAAGTCACAAGGATACAAACAAAATTTACCACCTAAAGCCCACCCTAGGAGCCAGGTACAGAATCCTAGATAAAGCTCTCATTCAGCTCCTCTTCATCCACTCAGTTGAGCTCTTCCCCATTCTACTCAAAGAGCTGATTCTCTCTCTGTGTCGTTGATTTGAAGTACTGTTTTTGTTACAGCAAAAACCAGGGATTGAAAACTCAAAAACCTAGGAGGACCGGGAAGGTAGTGTAAATAAAGCAAAGGGGGCAAAATACATCAGATTCAGCCACAGGCTGTCAGTTTGCTACCTCTGTCCTATGCTGGAGCCTCAGGGCACACAGAAGCATCAAGGATGGATTGTTTGATTGAAAAAGTGGGTAAGTGCCCATCCATTTAGGCCCAGTTCAAAATCTTTCCAGGCCAAGCTTACATATTCCTGAGACTCCATAGAACCACACTGAACTCCCAAGAGAGCTCACATTTCTTGGCCTTCCCATATACTTTTTTATCCTTTTTCAATATTTTTCCTTCAGAATTTAGCTCAAGGGCCACAACCCCCAGATGATCTCTCTTGACTACCCTTCTGGCTCCCATAGCCTCCTGGGCTCCATAAAGAACTGATTGCATTGTATCTGGACTCATGGTCTGTCCACCCCACGCCCAAAACTGTTGTTAACCCCTTGAGAGTAAAGACATGGTTTATACCTGACAATTCACTATGCCAGTCTCAGAAAGATTATTCAGGAAATTTACTAGTATTATCACACCTTATGAAACACAGAAATAACGTATTGGATGTGTGAGCTCAAACTCAAGGTAAGTCTAAAGTCTGTCTTCTATTTTCATTGACTATAACCCTGGTCCAGCCACCATCATCTCTTGGCTTGGATTACTCCTGACTGGGCCTCCCACTTCCACTCCTGTTTCCCTTTACTCCGTTCTCCACACAGCAACCAGAGTGACCTTTTCATATAAATCAGATCATCATGCTCTCACACTTAAGATCATCTTAGTTCTCTCAAATGAAAATGATGTATCATGGTTTAAAATTCCCATAGGACAGACATTATGTTGAGCTGAAGAAGCCAGACACGAGAGTAAATGCATATGATTCCAATTATATAAAGTTCAAGAGCAGACAAAGTTAATTGATGGTGATAAAAATCAGAACAATAACCATTGGGAGAGAAAGGTTTTAACTGGAAAGATGCACAAGGGGGATACTAGAAATGTATCAGGTTGGTAAACTATGGCCCAAAGGGCAAGTCTTGCCCACCACCTGTTTCTGTACAGCTGGCAAGCTAAGAATGGTTTTTACATTTTCAAATGGTTGAGGAAAAAATCAAAAGAAGAAAAAATATTTTGTGATACGTTAAAATTACAAGTAATTCAAATTTCAGTGTCCGCAACTAAAGGTTTATGGGAATCTGACCATGCCTCTTCATCACATAGCAACTATGGCTGCTTTCCTGCTATAGTAGCAGAGCTGAATAGTGGCAGCAGAGACCATAGCCCACAAAGCCTAAACTATTTTCTATCTGGCATCTTACAATAAAAAGTTTGCTGACTCCTTCCTGTTCTATATCTTGATCTGGATGAGGTCACATCCAGGGTTGTATACAGATGTAAACATTCACTGAAATGTGCACGTAAAATTTGTACACTTTATGTATCTCACAACATGTATTTTATACTTTTTTTTTCAATAAAATAACCCTACAGGATATGATCCCTGTCTATTTTTTTTAACCTCATTTACCCCTTGTTCACTATACTATAGCCACCTTGCCCTTCTCCAAACCATCCATCCAATTCACTTCTGCTTCCAGAGCCTTCATCTCCATTGTTCCCTCCATCTAAAAATTTTTCTTGGAACTCCCTGGCGATCCAGTGGTTAAAACTCAACGCTTTCACTGCGTGGGCCTGGGTTCAGTCCCTGGTCGGGGAACTCAGATCCCCCAAAATAATAATAAAAATTTTTCTCATGGCCAACTCTTCCTTTTCATGAAGGTCTTAGTTCAAATGTTGCCTCCTCAGAGAAGTTCCCTGACATTAAATAGCCCTTTCACTGCCTGTCACTCTTTATCACGTGCCTTTTTCACAACGCTTACCTGAAGTTATTAATTTATTTGTATGTTTGTTTATTGTCTGCCCCCTTCCCACTAAAAGATAAACTCCTTGAGAGCAGGTACATTGTCACAGCATTCACAGTATCTCTAGATAATTAATATATGAAAACCATTTCAAACAACCCTGTGAAGAATAGATTGTTCCATTAGGCAAATGAAATTTTGGTTGAATGAAAAGTGAATAATGAAGACTCAATATTGTCAAGATGCCAGTTCTTCCCAACTTGATCTATAGATTCAACGCAATCCAATCAAAATCCCAGCAAGTTACTTTGTGGATATCAACAAGCTGATTCTAAAATTTGTATGGAGAGGCAAAAGATCAGAATAGCCAAAACAGTATTGAAGGAGAACCAAGTTGCAAGACTGACACTACCAGACTTCAAGCCTTACTATAAAGCTGCAGTAATCAAGACAGTGTGGTATTGGCAAAAGAATAGGCAGATCAATGGAACAGAAAAGAGAGCCCAGAAATAGACCCACATAAATATAGTCTACTGATCTTTGACAAAGGAGCAAAGGCAATACAATAGAACAAAGGTAGTCTTTTCAACAAATGGCGCTGGAACGACTGGACATCCACATGCAAAAATTTAATCTAGACACAGATCTTATACCCTTCACAAAAATTAACTCAAAATGGATCACACACTTAAATGTAAAGCACAAAACTATAAAATTCCTAGAAGATAACACAGGAGAAAATCTAGATGACCTTGTATGTGGCAATGATGACTTTTTTTTTTTTTTGGCTGCGTTGGGTCTTCGTTGCTGTGCACACGCTTTCTCTAGTTGTGGCGAGTGGGGGCTACTCTTCGTTGCGGTGCTCGGGCTTTTTATAAAAAATAAATTTATTTATTTATTTTTGGCTGTGTTGGGTCTTCGTTGCTGTGTGCAGGCTTTCTCTAGTTGCAGTGAGCAGGGGCTACTCTTCGTTGTGGTTCGCGGGCTTCTCCTTGCGGTGGCTTCTCTTGTTGTGGAGCATTGGCTCCAGGTGCGTGGGCTTCAGTAGTTGTGGCACGTGGGCTCAGTAGGTGTGGTTTGCAGGCTTCTAGAGCGCAGGCTCAGTAGTTGTGGCGCACGGGCTTAGTTGCTCTATGGCATGTGGGATCTTCCCGGACCAGGGCTCAAACTGTGTGTCCCCTGCATTGGCAGGCGGGTTCTTAACCACTGTGCCACCAGGGAAGTCCAATGATGACTTTTTAGATGCAACAACAAAGGTATGATCCATGAAATAAATAATTGATAAACCGGATTTCACTGAAATGAAAAACTGCTCTGTGAAAGACAATGTCAAGGGAATGAGAAGATAAGTCACAGACAGAGGGGAAATATTTGCAGAAGACCCATCTGATAAAGGACTGTTATCCAAAATATACAAAGAACTCTTAAAACTCAAAAATAAGAAAACAACCTGTTTAAAAAAAAATGGGTCAAAGACCTTAACAGACATCTCACCAAAAAAGATACACAGACAGCAAATAAGCATATGGAAAGATGCTCCACATCATATGTCATCAGGGAAAGGCAAATTAAAACAAAAATGACATACCACTACACATCTATTAGAATGCTCCAAATCCAGAACACAGAACATCAAATGCTGATGAGAATGTGGAGCAGTGGGAACTCTCATGCATTGCTGGTGGGAATGCAAAATGGTACAGCCACTGTGGAAGACAACTTAGTATTTTTTTACAAAAGTAAATATACTCTTACCATACAAACCGGTAATCACTCCCTTTAAACACCCAAAGGAGTTGAAAATTTTTGTCCACACAAAACCTGCACATGGATGTCTACAGCAGTTTTATGTAGAACTGCCAGAACTTAGAAGCAACCAAAATGTCCTTCAATGGGTGAATGGTTAAATAAGCTGTGGTACATTCAGACAATGGGCTATTTATTATTCAACGCTAAAAAGAAGTGAGCTATCAAGCTATGAAAAGACATGGTGGAATCTTAAACACATTACTAAGTGAAAAAAATAAATCTGAAAAGACTGCATACTGGGACTTCCCTGGTGGTGCAGTGGTTAAGAATCCGCCTGCCAGTTCAGGGGACACGAGTTCGAGCCCTGGTCAGGGAAGATCCCACATGCCACGGAGCAACAAAGCCCGCACGCCACAACTACTGAGCCTGCGCGACACAACTACTGGAGCGCACGCACCTAGAGCCCATGCTCCGCAACAAGAAAAGCCACCACAGTGAGAAGCCCGCGCACCACAATGAAGAGCAGCCCCCGCTCGCCGCAACTAGAGAAAGACCGCTCAGCAACGAAGACCCAATGCAGCCAATAAATAAATGAATTTTAAAAATTAAAAAAAAAGACTGCATACTGTATGATTCCAACTATATGACATTCTGGAAAAGGAAACACTATGGAGATAGTAAAAAGATCAGTGGTTGTCAGGGATTGGGCGTGGGGAGATGGGACGAATAGGAGCACAGAGGATTTTTAGGGCAAAGAATACTCTGTATGATACTTACTGGCGGGTACATGTCATTATACACTTGTCCAAACCCATAAAATGCACATCAGGAGTGAACCATAATGTAAACTATGGACTTCGGGTGATAATGTGTCAGTGTAGTTTCATCAGTTATAACAAATGTACCACTCTCATGGGAGATGTTGAAAATGGGGCGATACTATGCATGTGTGGGGGCAGGGGCTATAGAGGAAATCTCTGTACCTTCCCCTCAATGCTGTGAACCTGAAACTGTTCTAAAAAATAAAGTCGTGGGGAATTCCCTGGCGGTCCAGTGGTTAGGACTTGGTGCTTCCACTGCAGGGGCCTGCGTTCTATCCCTGGTCGGGGAACTAAGATCCCGCAAGCGGGATAAATAAATAAATAAATAAAATAAAGTCTTAATTTAAAAAAAGGTGAATGATGCCCATCTTTTTAGACCCTCCTCCCATCATCCTCAGAAGACGAGGCCAAGCCAGAGTCTGAATGGATTGAACATAGCCTTGTACTACTAATTCCTTACTATGTGACCTTGAGCAATTCACCTCACCTCTCTGAGCCTCTCTCCCCTCATCTGTAAAGTGGGGATAGAGTTGCTGATGTAAAATTGCTTTGAAAGCTCTAAAGAACCAGCTAAATGCAGGGGTGTATTTTAAACCTCTATTTCAGAGTCTCAAACTCATGATCTTCAGGTCAAGTTTAGCCTTCAGATGTGCTTTACATAATGTTTTGATATTCTGAGTATTATTAATACTTTAGGCAGGAGAATGAAGGTTCTTACTTGCCATAAGCCCCACCATTTCTAATTGTCTTTTACTGGGCGACCTCACACATTCATCATATCTGCCTGGCTCCTGAAGGCAGTTGAATCTGCAACTTCTTGTTCCTACACGTGAGTGGGAGAGACAGGAGCAAAGATGACACAGCCCTTGCTCTCAAGAATTTAGTCTCATTACGGAATGAGCTGTGAGCTTGGTAAAAAGTCAGGGCAGAGCGTTTTGATGCCACGGTGGTCAAGGGTCGTGTCAGATCCAGTGGGGAGGACTTCCAAGGGAAGTTGTCGTTTGAGTCTGACCTTGAAAAATTTAGGCATGAAGGGTAGGCACTTCAGGAAGATGACATGGCCTCAGTGAAGCTGAGGGTTGTGGGGGACAGTGAGTAGATCAGCTTATTTTCTTTATAAGGGAACAGATTGAGACAGATAGGTCGCATGGAGCCAGGCTGCCAAAGGCCTAGCATGCCACGCTAGGTAGTAAGGGATTCGTTCAGAGGTTACAGGGAGCTATTGAAAGTTGTTGAGCAGGAATTGGCATGGTCCAGACTCCACTTTCCAAAGGACAATCTAACAGAATGAATGGGGTGGCTGTAAAGATAGCTGTAAGGCTGGAGATAAGAGAGGCCAGAGCTGTTACCCAGTTGTAATGGGGGCTACTGGCCAGCAGGTGGCAGTGGAGATGGAGGGAGAGACACTGAAGAGGAAGAATTAGCAGGATTTGGCAGACAGTTGATTGCTAGTGATAACGATCCTCTAAACAGCAGTTCCTCTTGCCTTCTGTGAAGCTAGCCTTTCCCAGTCTCCTCCTACCTCCTACCTCCCTGGACGCTCCTTCTCAGTCTTGCTTACAGGCCACTTCTCCTGGACACCTCCATCAATTGTAGGGGGTCCTCAGCATACTTCCCTCAATTGCCTTCTCTCATCCAGCACGTTCTCAAGGGCAGAGGCAGGTACCCCAAAGCTTCAGGACCCCTCCCTTACAGGGACCCTTCATTACTCGAAGTATCTGGGGGTTATAGAACAGTCTAGGTGAGGTGGGAAAGCCAGGTTGCAACCCGAAAGCATTTGCACATAAGCATTTCTGATAATTTGCCTAAAGAGAAGAAAAAGACACTAATCCCTAAGGCTCCAGTAATTTGTCATGATTTCTTCATGCAGTCCAATGACCACCTCTTAAGTCAAGGACTCGCAAGAGTTATTCCCACCTTGGAACCTGGTTTCCCATCTAACTCGTAGATTCCCCCTGCAGGCATCCCAGGCACTTTGGACACATACATTTAAAACTAACTCTGGTGGTCCAGTGGTTAAGACTCCAGGCTTCC